ACGCTGCGCGTCGAGCTGCAAAAGTTCAGATTTTCTAACTTCAGGGATTTGCGCCTCAGCGCGTCGAACGCTCAGATCGTTCAAATCGTTCAAATCGCGCTGCTCTAATCGCGCTTGAGGCGCCGCAGAACTTCCCAACGTTGCTTGAAGCGCGTCCACCATAGACTTTGTATGTAAAGCTGCTGCTCCTGACGCTGAAATCGCGTTCGGTGTGAACGCACCATAACACTTTGATCCCATCACTTCTACTGCTGAACATGGACATGCTTTAAAAAAAGTGCATTCCAATGGAGTTTGGTGATTTGATAGAGATAAAAGAAGTAAGTTAGTGATCACTTGGTCCTCTATCACACATCTTACCTTTTAACTTCAGTATGTCAAAACAGCTTTGATTTGCATCACTTACTCTTCATCTGTCTGTTAGCTGATTATTTTTCCTTAGTTCTAAGGCCCAGTTTACACAGTGCTGTTTATTTACAAAATTGGAACAATTCTGTAGCGTTTTGGCTGTTTTTCTTTTAAATCTAGGTTTGAAGTGTGGAAATTCTTTGTAACTCCCAGCACTGTTTCATGAAAAAGCGTGATCACACACATGCACCACGGTTGCAGTCTGTCAATAGTCTACATTTTCCAAAATCTTAGATTTTCTATCAAAGGGATTTGTCTTTGTGGCCATTTCATAGAAATGCTAGAGATTAAAAGTGAATTTGTTATTAGTGCTCAGTGCATAATTTATTTTCAAGTTATTCTCAAGAAATGTTTCCTTAAATACCAGGTGAATGAGTTTGTCCAGATCTCAGGATGGACACCTCAACTATTGATCTCCGACAACAGCACATGAATAATCTGCATACTCATACAGATAGAAAAAGAAAAATGCTCAAACGTGTAACAATACAAAAAAAAACCTTTATATTCAACCACTGTTTATCATTATCTATTATTAGCCTTGTGTTTCAGCTGAAGGAAAGATATGTGTCAGAAAGAGTGTTAAATCGTACATCTGTGTGCACGATATCTTAGGGCGCCTGCACAAATATGTGATTGTGTGGCTGAAAGTGTGAATGATTGTGCACGTCCATTTGTGCCCATATGGACTCTGTGTGTGTGTGTGTGTTTCTAACAGCACTATACGGCTGGTGGTGGTAATCGAGCTCACTAATTACTTCCTGAGCTGAGAGAGTTGTCAGAGAGAGGAGGAGCTGCCACAGATGGTGAGAGACCCACACTGACGCCAGGATATCCTGCCGCTTCATCATCAGAGTTGAGCATGTGTGTTTGTGCGAGACTGAGGATACGAGTGAAAGCGTGCGACCGAGACTTCAAATTACATCTTAGAACCAGCAAACACATGCTATGCTGCTGAAAAGTTTGTAATACGAAAGCTAGATCCTGCCCATCAAATAAATTACTGTGATCGGTCAAATTAATTTCAAAGACATTACTTGCAACACCTGCGAGACTGTCATGATCCGGCTCCACAGAACCTAACACCCACCCACTTCCAAGCACACTTCACCCAGCTCACTCCCTCTTCACATAAAGTGCTTGTGTGCAAGTGGTGCATTGCAGGACTGCCCTTCCTTCCCCATCCACTGCTCAGCTCTCTCTAGACAAAACGCTGTTGGCTGACTACTCACCACTGTGAGGATCCGTCAGTGCCGCTGACCTCCAGCAGGTCATAGTCGTCCTCCAGCTGAAAGTCAGAGAAAACCAGGGCAATGGTGTCTCCTGGCTCTGCCAGCACAGTCCAGGTGCAGTCAGCATTATTGTTGTACTCAGCTGGGTAATTGGGGGTGGTGATCAACCCACTCTGGCCTCGCAGTGTCCCTCCACATCCATCATCCGCTGCAGGGAGTGCAGAGAAAAGTCAAGTTATAAAAGCCTTGATGCAAAAGAAAATATCAGAAAGTGAAACTAATCCCAAACATGGGAGGTGGACATAATGTATAGAAAAAGTGGAAAGAGTGAGACAACAGAATTAGTAAAAGGCCATTAAACACACTCTGCAGTCTAAATGCTGCTGAAATTTGACCTTTAGCTCTCAAGGTACCATATTTAACAGAGTTCCCCTGTAAGTGTCTTATTGGAAACAGTTATATGGGGCTCCTTAAGAGCTAAATGTACTGGCACAAAAGTACTATATATATATATATATATATATATGATGCAGTCGTTTAGCAGTGATTTTATTGCTACGTATGTTTTTCTTTCATTTTGAGTGTAGAACTGCAGGAACAAGACCAAGCTTTAGATTGCTTTCAAGTATAGAATCCGGCACTTTATGTTCTATTTACAGTATTGGAGGAGCTTTGGGAGTTGCATTCACCATCTCCAGGGACCACTGCTGGGAGATGAAAATGTGTTAGACTGCCTCAGAAAACAATTGAGCATCCAAGAAAATTGCAAGTCAAATAGCTGTGAATTCCACTTAGTGGCAAGTGGGCGAATAAGGATTTGGCATTTGATGATCATCAGCAGTATTTACATGGCCTCAAACTGGATTGTGACAGAAAGGAAATCAATGTGGATGCAAACAGTGGAACAGCAGAGCAATGTGTTCTCCTGCACAAGCAACACAAAAGAAGTCCATTCTGAGTGATTTTGAAATGAGAACAAATTTCTTGCCAATCATACCATCCTCGTTGCACTGCCACTTTTAGTCAGCACAGACACACACACATCTCAGTTCTTTAGGACTATGTTTTCCTCCAGCCTGTTTTAATTTTTTTTTCAAAGAAAAGTGCCATGTGATAAATCAGACTTTATTATGAGGAGGATCTGAATCTCATCTTCTGATTTTTATTTATCTATATGATTTTTTGAATGAAAAAAGTTGAGTTATAGTGGTTAGCAACTACAGTTAGAAAATGCACAAGATAAAAAAAAAAGGTTATGATATTGACCAGCTTCTTGCTATGTTTTGATAAGAATCATTGTTCAGACATTGATCAATGGTGTCACTTCAGCAACACATTCCACAAAGCTAAATATCAGAAGCTTACTGATGTTGCAAGTACATAAACAACAGATACTTTTTTTATCAAAACCATGCAGGATCCTCAAATATTTCAAACATGTTGCATTTATATTTATTAGACAAAAGAACAACTGTTATACATGTATTTGAGAACGATATATGTTAAATTCCTGCACTGTATGTTGGTTTAATAAACACATACACACATTGTGTGTGTGTGTGTGTGTGTGTGTGTGTGTGTGTGTGTGTGTGTGTGTGT